GAGATCCGGAACCAAAAAGGCCAATCTTCTGTAGGGTCCTCACCTATATATGGGGCATGACGTGTATGTTATGGAATAGATTATTGGCCACTTTGAGTCTCAATCCCGAACCTAAGATCAAATCCTGGGCTAGTAACTGGGGCTGTGCTCCCTCCCAGCTTCTCCTGTTTGCAGACAGCCAGAGAAGCTGAAAGACCTTGGCAGCCGCATAAACATCACTTTTTATCAGCTTTCTTCTGAGCTCAAATCCAAAACACAGCCTCTTGCTAGCTATTATGAAGAAAGTTAACTGTGTCTCAGCTTAACCCAGGACAACGTTCATTCCTCCACCTATTCTTCCTCATTCTCCATCTATGAGAAAGTAGGAGAATCAAACTGGTCTCATGTAGAGATCTCCTTATTAGAGACCTAAAAATCAGTGTGAATGGAGAGTTAATGGGAGTGTGTGGATGTGGAAGCACCAGAAGGAAGGGCAGGAAGGATATAACAAGGCAGGAGATCATGCAACCTAGATTAGGCTGGTCAGCAAGATCACAGCAGTTCCTTATACAGCTTCTCAGGACAATCAAATCAGGAAAACAAAAGGTAACCTGAAACAAAGGACAAACTGCCATTTGAAGGTGCTGTTACAAGAGAAGATGATACGAAGGTAAAGAACAAGACCTATACCTGTAGGACACCCAAATAAGGAGACAAAAGATCACAATCACTGCCAGCTCCTAAGGGAGCTAAAGGTACAATCAAAAATCAGGTACATCCGTGTTCACACTAAGAGGAACCCAGGAGGCTTAAGAAGAACTGGCATCTCTTGTCCTCCATGTCACTGTAAGTCATCATGGCCATACCATGTGTATACATGCATTTTGTGTGGGTGCTGGAAAGATTTAAGACTTAAGTTTAATGGTTTTAAACTAAAAGAGGAGAGGTTTAGACTAGGTATAAGGAAAAAATATTTTACACTTAGGGTAGTGAAACACTGGAACAGGTTGCCCAGGGAGGTGGCAAATGCCCCGTCCCTGGAAACATTCAAGGTCAGGCTGGATGGGACTCTGGGTAACCTGATCTAGTGGAAGATGTCCCTGCTTACTGCAGGGGGATTGGACTAGATGACCTCCATGGTCCCTTCCAGCTCAAACTATTCTATGATTCTATGATTCTATGACTGCTTGGACATGTGTATGTTAGTGCTTGTGAGTGAGTATGAGTGAACGAAATCAGTTTTGTTTTAAAGTGAAGTCCCCTTCCCTTCCTATTCTGTCTGACATTGAGCTTTCCCACATTTTTGCTGCAATATTGCAAATGGATCACTGAACTTAGATTTCCTTTATGAAGCCCTACTCTAACAATAGCTATGTAAATATTACTTTAGTGGCCAAAACCTATACCAAAAATTAAAAAGATAAGCTATGACAGATACTATTGGTATATCTTTTGTTTGGAGTATAAAAGAATCAGTAGTAAGACACCTTCCCCATACCTTCCACTCTTAACAGAGATGCTGTCCTTGACTGGGTAAGTTTTCACATTGACTTTTATCAGGGAGTGGGCTGCCAAGTGGGGATTTGAAATATCGGCACTGGTTTTCTCTTACTGTGCTGACACCTTGTGGTAATGTTATTACCATGTTGAGAAACGAGTAGGAGGCATGCTATATGTTTTCTTTGTGTTTTTCTGCTCAGTCTGTCAGGGCTCACCCCGTGTTCTGTGGCAGTCACCTACTGGGGCAGAATTGGTTTGTGTCCTATAATAGAGCTGCTGAGCTTAATTGTTGTACCTGAGCCTGACATTGCCGTAATAGATGGAAGCATGGTTTGTACTGTATTGTATGAGGAGGATGTGAAGCATAAAAGGCTTAACACTTCATATAACTATAAAAGTACTTCTTCCCATTCATCAAGAGGGAACTTAGATACTAGTCAGGCAGAATTAGTGTTCTGACTGTGAGCTTAATCATTGTAATTGCCAAAATCCTGTGTTAGGCATTCCAGGCTGCCTGAATTTGGCCCAGGGAGAGTCATAGAACCATAGAATCATTAAGGCTAGGAAAGACCTCAAGGATATCAAGTCCAACCATCAACCCAACACCACCTAACCCACTAAACCATGTCCTGAAGCACCACATCTACATGTTTCTTGAACACTTCCAGGGATGCTCCAGTCCTTTGCTTACCCAGCAGAACTGGAGCCTACCTTGCCTGTGGTCCTGCATCGTCATCTACCCCAGCTCCCCTTCTAGGGCTCAGATAGCAGCCATGAGCCTCTTCAATTGTTGAACAGATGGACCTTTTCTTTCTTATGTCTTTCTTTTGCCTTGGATTGTATCTACTTATGGGCAGCACCTGTTTGAAACTTCACTCCCTTCTTTATTATCCCTCATTCCAATAGATGTCAGCAAAGGCAAATGCAAAGCATTTTCTCCGCACCATCAGGAATAACCTGTTTCAACAGCGCTGCAGAAGAAAGGAGGCTCAGAGAAGGAGGGCTCTGGAGGTAGTGGAGGAGAGGCACTTTCCTGCTCATAAAAAGACTTTGTGAGTTTCTGTTTCTGATGAGTTTATAATCTCTGAATAATATGCCAGGCTGTGGGATATTGCTTGGTTTTGTCCTTTGAGTAACTGATTTTGTTATGACAAACACCATGTCATGGATTTTCCATTAAAAAGGGAAAGCATAAATGGAAAGTTGCTGCACATTGCTCTGGAGCTTAACCATGATTACCATGCTGACAACTTAATGACCAGTTGTCTTATAAAATATAACATACTTCTGTCTTCCTTCCCTCCTTCCTTATGTCATCTTTTTTTCTCCATGCCATTTCTTGTGCTCAGTCCAGGGTCAAGCATTGCAAATATTTAGTACCTGTCACAATTGCATGGGTTCTTAAACACCTCTTCTGTGACAAATTCATTGGAAATTAACTGTGAATATTTTCCATATGTGACCCACAGTGCGTTCACTGACAGTCATTCTACCCAAGTCCCATGGACTTGCAGTCCCATGGGATTACTCACAATAGTGAGTAGCTGGTCTCACCATTCCAGTTCTTTCAGATCAATTCTGTTGTGTGTGCTTTTAATTAATGTGTAAATTCATTACTGTATTTCCAGTGATCACAGTGGCTAATAATGAGCATTGGAGGTCATGTTGTGATTTTTCCCTATAGTTTCTCCTTCCTTGCTCTGAGATTTTAGCTGATATATAGGTGTCAAAACTGAAGGGAAGGATTATACAAGATAAGCACTACAAACGTACAAAGGGTGAGATTCCTTCCTAGTTGTATAAACACCTAGCAATTCTCTTATATCTCACATGTGTTCTCCAAATAAGTCTCACTGAAGAGTGAGACTGAAATAGGGGAAAAATGGTCACTTCTTTCTGAAAGAATTAATTTAATCCTTATGCGAAGGAGCTGTTTATAAAACTTGATTGTGCTACACTGCTAGGTAAGTACATTGCTATAAGAAACCAATTTTTAATATACAGTAAGACCAATGGATGATAGTTACAGTGATTCCCATGGAGAATATTATTTCAGTGTTTGTTTTTTAGAATATGGTGAAATGCAAAACAATTTCCATTGCTAAAATTTCCCCACTTGTATTTAGCAACAAAAAAAAAAAATATTCATTTTGAATGTTATTTAATCCTTCTGTGAGCAATCAAGATTTCTCTGTAATTCTGGGGAGTTTTGCTTACCTACTGCTTGGGTAGCAATAAGAGAAAGAAGAATTTGGGGTTGCCGTTAGCGGTGTCACTGTGGGATTTTCCTAGCATAGAATGGACTGAACAGCAGGATATCTGGCCCTTTGCTATCTTTATCTAGTTGAATTTCCCAATGTATTTAGCTCTTGGCTAAAGGAAACCAAAAAGAGAAGCAGCACATTGCACTGATACTAAATGGGTGAAAAGAAGAACCTCTTGTTGAGACTGTTGAGAGAATGGAATTTGTTTTCAGGAATTTCATTCTTCCGGACAAAATATGCCAACAGGCATAGCTAAACCATACTTCTTGCTTAGTCAATAGCATATCTGTCTGTCTACTTACAGTGCATTAGTTTTATTTTTATCTTTCTGGGTACTAAGACCATATAAGGCTCAATCCTTTCTCTACATTATTTCTCTGTTGGTATACAGTCCCTCTGCAGAACTCATTGCTTCACCACTACCTGGCCCTGAAAACCTGTCTTTCCCAGTGGACAGACCTGTCCTGGAGTCACACAAATTCATATCTGAAAACAGAACTGTAATGCAGAAGAATGAGAATAACAGCAAGACATCAGAGCAAGGCAAGACAAAAGCTCAGGTGAACAAAACATAAGCTGTAATAATGCTAAAGCTGTGAAGAAGACTTACCAAGTTAACTAATTACCTTCTAATTACCAATGGAAAAAAAAATGTAATGGGCAGCTTAACCTTTCTGTTAATTTCTCACTTATGGAAAAAAATGTGGAATCTGAAAATCTAGTGAAGCTTGAATTTGATACCTTCCCAAGATTGGTGACTAACTCCTTGACTTCCATGACCTTCAGAAGCATTTGCAAGAATGTTTGCTCTGTTATATTTTTTGTACAAGTTGTCTTAGATTAAAACATTAAAGACTAGCTAAGACTGGAGTCCTCTCTCTATTCAGACAGTAAAAAATGCCATCATGTCATAGAATCATAGAATGGCTAGGGTTGGAAGGGACCTTAAAGATCATCAAATTCCAATCGCCCTGCCATGGGCAGGGACACCTTCCACGAGACCAGGTTGCTCAAAGCCTCATCCAGCCTGGCCTTGAACACCTCCAGGGATGGGGCATCCACAACTTCCCTGGGCAACCTGTTCCAGTGTCTCACCACCCTCACAGTGAATTTCTTCCTAATGTCTAGTCTAAATCTACCCTCTTTCAGCTTATAGCCGTTACCCCTTGTCCTCTCACTACACTCCCTGATAAAGAGTGCCTCCCCATCTCTCCTGTAGCCCCCTTCAGGTACTGGTAGGCTGCTATTAAGTCTCCTCAGAGCCTTCTCTTCTTCAGGCTGAACAACCCCAATTCTTTCAGCCTGTCCTCACAGGGGAGGCGCTCCAGCCCTTTGACCAATTTCATGGCTCTCCTCTGGACTCTCTCCAACAGGTCCATGTCTTTTTTATGTTGGGGGCCCCACATCTGAACACAGTACTCGAGGTGGGGTCTTATGGGAGCAGAGCAGAGGGGAAGAATCACCTCCTTCAACCTGCTGCTAATGTTCTCCTACTGCAAGCAGATGTCAAGGAAAGATGCCTTAATTCTTATTAGTCTCAGGCCATTTTTGTCACCATGGAAATAGCAAGAGGTGAATGGGCCCTTCTTAAAGATAAACCCAGACTAGTGTCCACTCCAACTGAAATAGCTCATGCATAAAAGCTCTCCACTAATTCATTTCCAGGTTCCCTGCATAGAAGCAATGCTAGAGGAGTGGGTAGGACACTGTAGATAAAAATAAGTACAGAGCAGGTTTTTGTTTCTATATTTATTTGAGAGGTTGGTAGCTCTGCACATACTCGGAATATAGGGAACACTGAGTTGTGTTCAGACAAGTTTGTGTCATCCACTCATCTTGTTCTTCCCAGAAGCCAAGGGTGCAGTAACTGAGAACTAGTCTGTGTGTGTCAGGTTGCTCCTTTGGCTGCTACTCCTGTGCTGCCCTTTGGAAGACCTGTCTTTTAGGACTCCGCTGCCCAGCTCAAGGTTAGTGCAAGCCAGCAATGTATCTGCAGGAGAAGCTGTGGGCAGACACTGCTTAAGCATATAATTTTGATGGCTGGCATTTGTCATATTAGAAAACAGCAAGATGGGTCTTACATCGCTCTAGTGGGATTCTGTCACATGCATTGCTCTCTTGCTCATTTTTGCTCTCAGCTGAGAATTCTTTTTGAGAAGTTTTGTACTGATTTCCAAAATCTTGTAGTGCAGATTATTTCCATGTTGCTTAAAAAGATCCAGACCGGAAGTCCAATGATAGCTTTTAAACAGAATCCATGAGCTTGGAGATCCTGGGGACCCAGCTCTTAGTCTCAGAACTTCCTGGCAGCCCTGATTCCAGCCCAGCTTATACCATGCCTGTAAAGCAGCTTACATGGGAAGTGTTTGTCTCACTGACTTCTAGGCTACTGTCCCCTGCATGGCCCAGAGACTGCTACTTCCATCCAAAGACCAAGAGTTTCTCTTCTCTTTTCTACATCCACTCTGTCTCCTTCCATCTCCTTGTCCCAAAGCAGTTTGTGACTTGCAAGAGACTGTTCCCAAATCTGAATATTCCATTTTGCAGAAATTCCAGGGAATGAGTTTTTTGTTCTAATTTAAAACAAAACAAATTCTCATATGGTTAAAGTTTGTCATAGGACAAAGAACTTGTTCTACAGAGTAAATTTTACAGTCTATTCTAACAGGCACTAGAAATACTTTAATGCATCAGTTGATTGCCATCAGTTACATAAAAGTTAATTAGTATATATGTAAAAGAGACCAAATCCCAAATTTGTCATGCCCTCTTACAGCAAAATTTGCATAGAAAATTAAATGTTATTGCTGATAAAGTTATGAACAGATACTTTTCTCTTTTTTGTTATAGGCAATAGCCTCTTTCGAAGATGTGTTAAAAATGCATGAATCCATCAAAAACATTCATAGTGAAAGCAGGTGGGTAAATGCAATAGTATAGTGATTGAAGACTGATGGGCAATGCTGCTCCACTGAAGAGCTAGAAGACAAACGATTTTTCCATACTTTAGAGATTTTGAGATTTAAAAAAAAATCCTATCAAATGGGAATGAATGATAAAAATTCAGCAACAAAAAGTGTAAATGGAGATTACTGTAAAAACAGTTTCTGGCAAAGCAAAATGTTTTGTTTTGATTTCATCAGCATTTCTGCATTTGTTAGTTAACATTTCTAATAGTCATTTTTAAGAGAAAAATATTCATTCACATTAAAATATCAGAATAGCATACTTTTCCAATTTTTTTCTGAATAAGGCTTCATCAAAACAAATTCCATAATTCACATTAAGATTTTGAATCAAGGTGGGATATCTTTCTAAAATATATGCTGTAAGCTATACAGGCTTAACACAAAAGCTATTGGTAAAAAATCCACAACTTAGATTATCACAGAAGTCCCTTCTGATATTCAAACCTTTTACACAATAAAGTATTAATTCCTAAACTACAAATTTCTTGGGTGGTTGGTTTGTTTGGCAGGGTGGGGTGTAGGGGTGTTGGTGTATGGGCAACCATGCTTACCTTTTTACTTTCAATTTTGCTTTCCCCTCCTTCATTTTTGTAGTTATATATGAATGTATGGTAGATATAATAATGTCTGTGAACTCTGAAACCAGTGGAATTTATAGCAAAGGGTAGAATTTGATCCTGAATCTACTCTCTTTATTTCCTTCAGTATGTTCAGTTACCTCTGTTCCTGTTTTGTTTCATTCTAATAAGTCAATATACAATTGCTGCTCCAAATTCATACAAGGGCACTTCAAGACTAGAGCAAAGCAATTGCAGTTTCATTGTAAGTCTCTGTCCTTGCCTATGTTCTCACTGTTCTCACGTGGGAACATAAAGAGATATGGCAAAGATCTTCAGCTTTGCTTTAGATTAGCAATAGTTGAGAGGGTATCTGGGAAGCCTGCTCCTGAAATATTGCATCACCCTGTGACACAGTGCCTGTCATATAACTGTGAATGAATCACAGTACTCATGGGAAGCTCTTTGTTCTTATTTGTGGATCACAGAACTGGGCTCTGAGTTAGTTTAAGGTAGTCAGCATTTTACAGTAAGACCCATTAAATGCTTATTATAAGGGACCACCGTAATAACAATTTTAACTTTATAAATGGTCTGACTTGCTGTCCCATTCAGACAAATCTTGTATAATGAGAAGGAGAACGACAGTAAAACTGATGGGGTTCTTGTCTGTGAGCCAATGCACACCCAAAAGAAAGTGAATCAGGTGAATTTCTGGATGTAACTAAGCAAGGGAGTTAACTATTTCAGCCGCGTGATATGATGAAGTTTATGGCTGTAGTGTTAAGAAGCTTTTCTGTCTGTCTCCACCTCAGCTGTGGGGAAGACAAAACTGTGTTTCTACCCTGATTTCGTAGAGAAATTCCAACTCTAGGACAGACATGTGGGTGGTATTTTTGTCATACTATGCTCTGAGTAGGTAATTTCTAAATCTTCTCTGGTGTGCATGGCAGGGTGGCACTTCTCATTACAAAAATCACAGTATTTTTTCCGGGATAAGTGATCTCTGCAGAAACTGTTGGTATCATCAAACAAGTGACGTGAAATACCAGGAGCAGGAAGGAACTCAATCAAAGGGGTAGAAGCTGCTTTTACTCCTTTATTGCACAGCGGGAAATAATAGGAATCTTTTGTAGGTCAGGGAGTTGCTGTAAGTGGTTTGCTTCTAGACAGAGGGACTGCTATAATGGATCTCCTGTTGCAGCCACCTTTGTGGGAGAAGTAGAACCCCAAGATGCAAGGCTCAGTCCTGTCCACAGTTCCACTCAGCTCACACCTTTCCTCATCTAGAACACTCCTGTTTTTGCTAATTCCATGGATACAGCCCAGTTCCTGAAATACTGGCCTCTAACCCCAAAGCTGATAAAAATCTCCTGAACTGATGAAGAGAAGAAAGTTTGTGCTACAGTATTTGCTCTTTTCCATGATTGCATATATTTGTGTGTGTGTGATCTAGCAAAAAACCCTCCTTCCTGCATCCCTGGCAGGTACATGAAGAAGCAGTTCAACAAATGGAAGGACAAAATGCAATTTCTTCACAACTGCCAGGAAGACAAAAGCTGCAAAATAGAGGCAAAGCTCCAGAGCCTGAAAGCAAGCCATGAAAACCTGCAAATGAAGCTGCAGCAAATGAAGCAAGAAGTAAAGGTATAGTGATAAATATACCAAGAATCCTAGGGGCAATTACTGAACACTAACTACTCCTTTTCCTGGAGGCCAGACTCTTGATACTATTTTGTGCACCTTCCTCTTGTCTGTTCAGTCATCTTAGGTTCTTGTCTTCGGAGAAAGCAGACAGGCTCTTTGCAGCAGCGATTTTCTTGTCATTCTGTATATATTTAACATCTAGCACAGACATCCATGTCTGGGATGTATAGATACTACTGCAATTAAAATAATGAGAGGGTATTCCAATAAGAGTGAGAAAATGGTTTCCAACAGAACTGTTAGATACTTCTTTGCAGTCTTTTATTTAGAGAAGAATCCTGTATTGGCATTGAATAAATTAAAATACTTGTGTCATTTGTAGTTGCTGTCTTGTACCGGGATGTAATACAGACCTTTTACAGAAAATATTTTATTTCTTTTCAATTGTATTAACTCTTGTTCAAGTATCTCTGAGGTTCTAAAAAGGCCTTTATTTCACAGGGAATGCATACATATTTGGTGCCTACAGCATTTTTGTAACACTTTCTGTAACGCTGTGTTCAGAGTGTTTCTCAGGGATGGTCAAACATAGAGAAAAGCCAGACACATCTGCAGTGGCAGTGCACACTTGGTCAGCTTTATATCACTTGCACGTGGAGTCCAGTATGACTTGGCATGTCACACTATCCTGTGTGTATGCTGTGACGCTGCCCTGTCTGCAACATGCAGGACTGGCTGCACACATGCAGCTAAGTGTTATGTGCGTGCACAGGCAGCTCGGTGCATCCCAGTTACATCAGACTCAGCTTTCATGCAGTGGATGGTATTTGCTATCACACTTCTGTCTAGAAAATTCCAAGTACAATTGTGGCATTGACAACCAACCTAGTTTTGGAATTTCAAATGTTAACAGCCTCAGGTGTTTTGCATGTGTTTAATATACACATATATTTTTCCCCATAGTTTAATTATTTTAGAACAATTTTCCTGCAAATTTACTCTTGGAACATTATTATTCCAAATTTTCAATGGCATTAGAGCATATAATATCTTCAAATTGGAGCTGTGGAAAAAATGGCCACATAGATTTGTCCAAACTCAAACACCAAGTTTTATTTTATTGCAGGAAAATATTTTATTTGTGAAAATAATTTATTTAGTTCACCAGAAATTTAAAAAAAAATTATTCTTCTGACCCAAAATTATTTTCCTATCTATTTTAGTACTACCAGCAACCCAAATTATCAATTATTTTCTCAATGTAGTTTCTGTGTTTTGTCTATTGTAGACAATGTTACAGTCGTCAGAGCATCCTTTTGCACAGTGTCAGAATATGATGCCAAGAAATACATATGTCCTGCCAGAAAGGAGAATACATGATGGATTAAACCCTGCTCAAATAAGGCCTACTTCCAGAACATGTGCAGACTGGAAATCTTTGAATCCCCCCAACTCTGCAAATAGAATCCAGCTTTTACAGATACCTGAGGTTCCTGCTGCAGTGGACTTTATGTTCTCAGAAAACCCACTGGAGTCAGTGCCCCTGGAGAACAACAGACCTTTTATGGGACTGTATAAAAAAGCAAAAGAGAATCAAACACATCTGCCTGAATTGACAGAAAACTCCCTCAGTGGCATCACAAGGAATACAGTTCTTACTCCCACTGCTGTGCAGATACCACCTGATGAGAAGGAAGTCAGTGAGGAAGTGGAACTGCAGCAGCTAGTGATAAAACTGAAGGATGCGTTGTCTCTCCAAGCCCAACCAGGTATAAGTTCTTCCAGTTATCCTGACACTATCTTCTCACCTTCATCCAGTTTATAATATTGTTCATAATCATCAGAGGAAACTCAGAATCTTGCCTTTGCCATTGTAGAAGTACTCTAGCTCTATACTATAAGGTAGAACATCTTCCTGTAAGGTGGAATATAGTCCCTAATGTTGGACTAATTTGAAACAGGATGAGTCAAAGTGCATAAGAGGAAATTAGTCTCCGTAGTCAATTAAGAAGCAGACTTACACTGGTGAGGGCACTGGAGGTCTTTTCTGTTGCCACTTCTGTGGCACTCTAGTCCCAGGCAGATTTACAGCAGTAACAAATCCCTTTGTAATTGATGGTCTTACACAGGAGAGCTTTGTTCAACAGTCAGGATGCCACACTTTTGATAGTGAGGATGTAATAGATAGAAATAGATAGAAATAGATAGAAAAAGCTGCTGTTAACTAGAGTTATCTTAAATTATTGACTTATAGAGAGTTTTTCAGGGTTCTAGCAGCATCCAGATGCTCTGAAAGACTTAATATCTGCTCTACTTTTTAGCCCAACAGTCTGCTTTGCAGCAGGAGTTCTTCTCTACAGCTGAACATGTTTGCAGATCCTTTTCTGACCTCATCAACCAAGTAACTTCACCAGCTTGTAAATGATGGAAACTACCATTCACCTTACAGGCTCACTGAACTATTGAAGGTAATTGATGCCATGTCAGACTCTGCAAAGTGTCCCAGATGTTGCATTGTTATAACCCAGCATAACAGATTTCTGTCTTTACTGACTTCACCAGGAATCATAAATAGAGAATGATGTTCTTTTTCTGTTGGTGGTTTCCAGCTCCTGTGCAGTAGAAGCTGGCCCAGCTGATAAAAATCAACACATCTTCACTAACGTTACTCTGGCTTTCACAACTGTTCTGCCCTGTCCTCTCTTCCTACTGCTATAATCAGTAATGGCTTGTGTTTCAGAAACACTTATTTTTTATATGAGAGTTGGCTTGAGTCAACTGGTTTCAGTGATGTATTTTCTATCACATCATTGTTTCTTAGACTAAAGGAAGGAATAAGTTCTTAACTGTCAGGCTTCTCAATACTTGATATTTACATATTAATATTTTTCCAAACTACTCAATTCATATTTAAAGGAAAAGATGCTTTGAACATTTAGAGGAATGTGATTGCTTTAGAAGAGCCTTTCCATTATTGATTAACTTACATATTAGCATAGAACAGTTAATAAGAATGTAAAGTTTAGTATAGAATGGTTAATAAGAATGTCATTTTACCTGCAGCATCTAAAATGTGAGAAAAGTAATATTTTCCGTGGTTACTAGTACTTTGTATTTGGTGGAACATATCTAAAACTTCCAGAGTATTAAAAATACTTATCAAGCCTGTACACACAGATACAGGCATATCTATGGATGTAAGTAAACATATAAGCTGCACAGAAGTTTATAAACAGATGATTGGCTGTAGGTAGCAGGTTGTACTTGCTGAAATTACAAAGCATCTATCAGCCATCAGCAGGGAAACAGGCTGGGGTTTGAAGAGAAAGGAAGATGCAACATAAACAAAACATTGCATACTGCTCTGATCCATTCATTACAGGCTAGCTTCATTTCTTAGAATGGTGGGTGAGTGAAAGCCTTAGAATTTAGGTCATTCTTAGAAGAAAACAAGTAGATGCTCACTTCTTTCATTGCTGCTTGTTTGCTACATTTCTTACTGCAGTCCAGCTCAGTGAGGTACATTAGTATAGACCGTGATGATAGTGTAATCAAGTGCATATTGTTTTAGTGACAGCAGTTCTGAAGGTTGAGGTAATGGGTTAAGATACAGCATGTTAATAATTTGCATGTTATTATCAGATGTACTTCTTTCAATTGTTAACTATTTGTTAAGTGACAATGAGAACTAATGGCAAATTTACCAAGTATTAATCCTCAGCAGTGCAACTGATTGCCCATTGCTCTCTCTTTAGCTGTTGATATGCTATAGTTGAATTATGATGTATCTCTTGTTGATGACAGCAACAACGAAAATATTTTTTTCTGATAATGCTCAGAAGTATTTTAAAGATCTGAGAAATAGAAATAATGCAGTACCACGTCAGGGAGAAAAATTTTAGATTCAGCCACTTACTATCACTGTTCTATGCAAGAGGTGCATAAAAAATAGTGAATGAGTATGTGCATGTGGGCTCAAAACCAGTTACGGTTCAAGAAAATTTGCATACTTTCAAGGATTTTAGTTGAATCACTGGAACTATACTAGCTTTCCAAGAGAGAAAATACTCCTAGTTTTTACAGGATTTTTTCTATGATTACTAAGAAAATAAACTTTGTTTGGGTGAAAGCAAAATGGTTTTGGAAGCTTTGGAAGAAAAGTCAGGTAAATTACATATTCTGAAGCTTTGTTTCATGTGTAAGCAAACAGGATTTACCTTGATGTAATTGAAAAGGCCAATGAAAAGTGTAATGCTTAAGAAAAGCTGCTCAGCTGAAAGCTTAATTTTCCACATAAATTTTCCTGGTCTTGTATTTTTCAGAATGAATTATAATCACCAAGACAAAGGGACTGTCTTGACTCATTAAAACGGCTAGAAATCTTGTTTGCTGTTTGTAGCACCTCAGCCGCCTTCTTGAAAGACCTTACACTGTGGTAGTGATAGTAATGAACATTCCGGGTTCTTTCCATTCTGTTTTGGTCACAGGAGGCCTTAATTACACATACTGCAAACACTCAAGAATTACAGCAACAAATGATGGTATATGACTAGAAGTTTGTCTAGTATATGGTATATAACAAGTAGTTTGTCTCTAGCAAAGGAAGGGTGAAGACAGTGAAAAGCAAAGAAAATTGAGGGAGGAGGACCTGAGAAAACAAATAGTGATGAAGTCACTTGAAAGTGGATACACCTGTATTATCACATAAACAGAATATAGTGTGAGACAGAAGCTTAGTAGCTTTTGCAATATACCACTGCCAAGAGATACAAACAAGAATCAAATGAACTTAACTTGATTGTGGGAAGATATCAGTCAGCTTCTGATGAGGCTTTCAATCTCCTTCAGAGTGAGTGCATCTGAATTAAAATTGGTTGGAAACAGTGACAGCTGACAAATACCAGTTTGGTCCAATGCAACATAGAACAGGTCTGGAGCACAAATCCTTACAAATATATATTCCTGAACCACCATGAACTCTTACTTCATGGTAACACATAAAGACTCAAAGAAGTGTTTTCCTGTGCTAATAAGCAGTTGTTTAGCTACCAGGTCCCTGTAAGATGAAAGGGACAAAATCCCAAAGCCTTTATTTTGTTGTTACTCAGTTCAGCTGACAATGAAACAACCTCAGTCAGACACGCTCATCCCATCCTTCTGACACACTCAGACTGAGAAACAGTAAGCCAGGAACAGTATCTGCAAAAACAATCCCAGCTCACCCCAAGATCTGCCATGAAGTTTACAGGCGAGAGTACCCTTGAACCACAGGGACATTTTGAATTATTCTTGTGCAGAAAATCTGCTTGCATCTCATACTTACAGCACTTGATTTTTCTTAACACAGCCACACTAGAAGGCCCCAATTCATAGTGACTGAATCAATACCAAACATCAGCATAATCTGATTGTGTTTTCACACCAAATTGTTGAAATCAGGATAAAAGCAAGCAAGATCTAAGTTATAAAATAGAATTGAGATCTTCAGAGACAATAAATTGCCTGAGGTGATTTAGGAACTTTATCACTTACAGGTTTACATATAACTAATTGCATCCCCTTTTATATTTCAGCACAATTAATAACACAGGTTGTCTCTTTTACATCAGCAATTTCCAAATGTTCTCCATAGCGTGACCTATGCTAGAGCTTCATCTGTTTTCTCAGTTTTCCCTGCCCCTACTGGAAAACTGAAAACATTTTTGAAAGTATTTTTAATATAAAAATATGTACTACTTTTCTTTAGTAGGATGAGGTCTTTCAGCAGTGGTTGCTTTGTACGAGTGTATAGCTACGCTCACAATAAAACATCACCATCTTGACTCTAGTTCCGTCTTGGAGCCAGTGGAGGCATTTGGCAACTTCCTGCTTTGCTTTTCTACGTCTTACTGGAGGATCAGTTGTTTCCTATTTTGGCACTCAAAAGACAATAGTTTGAATAGGTCAGATGCCTTATAAAAAGCCTGACGTACACACCAATTAAAGTAGATAACTGCTTATAAATCATGCAGTTTATTAAGGAGATTAAATTCATAGGTAATTAAAAAACCCCACAAGTCCAAGTTAATCAGGGATACAATGCTTATAGTTACAGGCATTCTTCTACCATGTAAGTTAACAACAATGAGAATTAAAATGCAAAAAAATAAAGAGTAGTAGTTAAAAAATACCTATAAATCAATATCTTGGACTGAATGTGTCATTTCCTCTTTTTCCCTAGCTTTCCAATGATTCTTCCAAGTAATGTTGATCTACTCTTATGCATGGGGATACTTGTTAAATCTTCAAACAAGTCTTTCTTCTTCAGATCTGGTGACCTCTGAATATGAGAAAATATCCCTGAAAAGTGACATGAAAATGCATATAAGTAATCAACTTCCAAACAGCAAAGAGCAGCTGAATACTCAGTTTCCCCACATCCATGTTTCCTCTGTCTTTAGCTGCTACTGGTCTCTATTTTATTGGCATTGCCCCCAAACCTCTCATTTTGGTGATAGCCATATCCCTCCATTTGCAAGTTGCCTTTCAGTGACAAGTTCCTTTGATCCTTTCCCCCAGCATAGACCTTTTCCTTCTGTCTTTCTATAAAACTCTTCCACTTGTAATTAGCAGAGTCAAAGTACTCAAGTCTGCTCAGTCTTCCTGACTGGCTGTCTTGTCATCAACCTTGCACAGTGGATGAGATCTCTCACACTGCTCAGTAGCACATTTGTTATTTCCTGGAGGAACTATGGGGCATTTTCTTTGCAATGGTCTCAAAAGCCAACAGATTGGCTTTCTTTCTTTTAGACACACCTGTCTTCTGAAAAAGTAACTGGTTAACACAGTATGTGTTTATTTACCAGACCTCAAATGCATAATACAGGAGCCTTTGCCTCACAACCCTCCCTGGCACCGTGCAGCCCAGCAGACATGGGACAGCAAGTTTGTGACTGTCCCTGGCAGGTAGGCAAAGTGCAAGGGCTGATCTGAGACCAATTACCTGCACCTGTGAGGGAGATGTTGCAGCTGTGGCAACTCTGAGTGATGAGGTAGCAGGGGGACTGCTGGGTAAGGAGAAAAGAGGCAGAAAGGGTTTTGTGTTTGTGTGCTTTAAATGTTTATACTGGGGATGTGCCATGTGGCTTCTTGGGGCAGATCTTCTTGTACAGCTGCTCTTCAGGAATAAAAGAAGCTATGTTTTCCTTGGGGTTCTTAAGTCTTATTTTGGCTCATTAGGAGTTGTTACAATTATGATGTATCTAACTCCAGTGTTGTCATATGTTGGAAATGTTTTTTATGAAACCTGCTTTTTTATAGTGTTTGGCTTTTGTCAGGGGAAAGGGATGAGTTACCGAAGACACCTTGGCTAGGTAACTGTAAAGGACTCTCCCTGCTTGCTTCAGTTTAAAGCTGACTAACACTTCTTTGCAGGATATATAGGAA